CTGACTGCACTGATTTCCTAGGAATATGTCAACTTTACAGATTTTCAACTCCATCTTTCCCACCTCATATGAGTAAAAGTTATTCTTGTTTTGACACAAAGTTCTGAGGTTAACCATCCCATCATTATTGCACATTGTTTACGCCTACTAAATCACACAGTCAGATAATGAACGTGATATTTCACTAAAATATTTACTAGTACGTTTGCCAAAGAAATTCTCTGCATATCATTGAGTCACCTTGAAATTAAACTCTATTTTGTTTTTAATGATTCTTCACGTTTAGTTGCCAGATGAACTTAAACTATTATTAGTTGAGTGTGTTATTAGTAAGTAGATCTAACCGTCGAGGTGTATGCAAGTTGACTCTAGTGAAGACAGTATTTGAGAAATGTCCCAAAGCGACAGGTACACTTGCAGAAATTAGAGAAATGTCAACGCTGCGTGAACAACAATTCGCATCCGTCCTACATGCACAAATACGTTCACAAGAATTTTCCACCAGTCGAGAAATGCACCAGTCTAATCTGGTGTTATTTGTTTCTCTACAATCTTCAGTATTCAGTCTTTCGCTCTCACGAATTCAGTCTTGTCAGGAATCATTAGTTGCAGAGAATACTCTGATGATGTGTTGATTTTAGACTGTGACGAGAAAATGTCTTCTTCCTGGAGGAAGAATTTTTGGATTACTTATCATTCAATTCGTTTAAACTGCATTTTGGAAAATGATCTTCTGGTCTTTTTTGGATTTATCATTGACGAAGAAGCTTCACCGGTGAAAAATTTTATATTTTGTCTTTGTTACTTCCTTTCCGTTGAATTTCAATTGATCATGAATTCTCGTAAGAAGGCAAACACGAAGAGAGATGGAGTCCTTGAAGGATCGCGGGATACAAGGCAAGTCCCTTATGATACTTTATTTTGAAATGGTTCACTCTCCAGTAAAGATGATATTATGCTTAGTACTTATTGTGGTAAATCATCATTACAGGGTACTAAGGAACGAAGTTTGGACGAGAACGTTGAGGTACCTGGGAAAGATTCGATGTCTAGGACACCAGTGGTTGGCCTAGAATTGCCAAACATTGAACTTTCCTTTTTCGATGGTAAACACCGTGATCACATTAGGTTCGTCAAGCAATTTGAGACATTTATAGAACCTAGAGTTATTGATGATAATCTTCATTTATTGTATTTAATTCATTACTGTAAGGGAAAGGCGAGAAATGCGATTGAAGGATGCCTTATAATGGAACGCCACGTGGGATATAAAAGAGCTGAGGCTATTCTAAAGCAGCTCTACAGACAATCGCACGTAATAGCTCGTGAAACTCTGGATGATTTGTTTAGATCTGGGAATCCGGATTACAATGACCCAGAACAATTGTCGGATTTTGCAATTAAGATGCAAAACGTTGCTCTAACTCTGGAACAATTAAATTGTATTGCGGAAGTAAATTCTCTAGTAACGTTAGAGCGAATAATTAGGCTCTTACCTCATCGAATGCAAGTCCAGTGGGCAGAGCTGTGAATTAAGTGGGACGCACAGGAAAGAGAGCCTACTTTCAATGAATTGACTGACGTTATTATGACTCGTACTAAGATCGCTAGTAGTAGATTCGGAAGATTAGCTAATCGCGTTACATCAAGTAGAAAAACATAAATATTATTCCGTGGATGTTTCTGTGCAGTGTTGTTCTTCTCATGTAATTCTTCAGTTGTGACGCACTGAGGAAAGTGAACTGATTATTGACAATGCGTAATTTTCGATAGTTCAGCTGAACTGCAGAATCATACGACATGCCAGACATGGTACGAGGTATAATTGGAACCTTGTTAGCACAATATGAAGGCCAATTATTTGTATAGAGTCGGTTACATAACCTCTGTAGGAAAAACCTTTTCACTGTAACTTGTACCATTTTCGACTGTAATTCATATTCATATCGCTTATTGATGCAAATTATAATTTTCGACAGGAATCCATATGAGTCGCGCCTAACCGTGGTCATGCAACTATATGTTACACGCACAATTTCGAACTCTTCATTCAAGTGAGCTAAGCCAACCCGTATTACGATTTCATCTGTCATCTATTCCTTAGTAATATTGTGGTGTGTGCTACTTATACGAACGATATAAGTAGTATAAGAAGGGACGTGAAAGAAGAAGTCTCACGGTCAGAAGAGTTAAATGGAATGCCAATGGAGCAAAAGCAACAAATAAGTGCAATATCAACAGGAAGGAAATGGATCAATAACAGGAATGGAAGAAGGATGGAGTGTTGGATGTCACGACTCAAAGATGGTGTGCAAATAGAGTATTCAATGTAATGCTTTCGTTTATAACTGACTCATAGTGTAAGTTTGCATGATACAATCTTCCTCGCCTGCCTCAGTCTTCTCAATTGGTGTCGCTGCCTCTAAACAGGATGAAGATTCCCTGGCCTCGGAAGTTTGAAAGCAGAGATGAAAGGAGCTACTTGCAGGAGTTCAAAGCCGTGCCGGAGTTGGTTTTAGACAAGGAGAAGAGGGCAAAGGCTGGTGGTGGAGTTCCACTGCGCGTTGGTTGGTCAGGAAGCATTGCAGAAATTCCCAGAGGGCAAGACTGATTATGGCTGGCAACCCACTCGTGCTGGCTGTGGAGTTGACAAGATTCTGCGCCGGGGTCTGCCGAATCTGCATGAGGAGTAGCAAACACAGGTACTGGCGTCGCAATTCATTGAAAGTGTGCCTGCAGAGGTTGCCTAACAGTTGAGACTGGTTGTAGAATATTTTTTGAATGTTTTGTTTTTTGGAAAATACCTCCATGTATATATATTTGTGTTGTGATATGATTGACTCTTTCTGTTGACATTTTGGTACTGTGTTTGATTCCATTTTGAGATTTTATCATTGTATTTTGTTATTAATTCTATATCTTGTACTTAAATTGAAGTTTCTATGTTTGCTTCTGAACTGTACATATGTTGCTTAAATTTGATATATAATATGGCTTCAGCAACATTTGGATTTGATACCGTAGCAGTACCGACTGTAAGCACTTATTCTTCCAGAAACGTATACCTACCGCCGAAAATTTGATTTATAAGGTGTGATATTTTTGGGATTTTCTCGGTGTTTCCATTTTATATTGAATTAAGTCCGTTTTCTATCAGATATAGTTTGTTTTGTTTTGATTCTGGGATGTCGAATGTCAACTTGCACCAATTTGAATCGTAGTGAACTGCTGTGGTAGAAAATTCATCTCCAATTAACTTGCCGGCGATGTAAACTAATGAAAGAAGATCGATGGATACGGCGCCATTGCAGTCAATCTCAATCAGAGCAGTTGGTGATTTGTAGTCAGTGGATGTTATGGGACTTTGCTATTTAAACGTTGATTGTGAAAAAACGCCAGATATACTGCTGCGAATTCCAAATTACGTTGGCGGCTGTGTAAAACCTAAGGTTGTCTGACGAGACAAGATAATTTGACACTTATTGTTTAACAAGCATATGTGACAGCTTCTTTGATTAAAGATTTGAGATGGACTTTTTTTCATGATGATCATATATCAGATAGAAGTTAAAGGAAATTACGTGAAGTATGGAAGTGTGTTAATAATCTAAAATATTAAAGCAATGCAGATGCCGACGCTGCTCGAACTTTGCAGTCTAGCTTATGTAAATTTTGAGTAATGCAAGTATGAATAACTGATTGAAAAAGAAATTGTCGTTTTCTATGTAGTAGAACATAATAAAGATGTTGTTTGATGAATGCGGCCCTCCAGCTAGAATTATACAAGTTGTATTTGATTCCTTTTTTTGTACAGTGATGCGTAAGATATATCCACTGAAATTTACTTTGGAATATTTTTTTTAGTAAGTACGATCCCGGAGTCTGATAAAAACTGCTTTCGTCTACATTGTGTTTTACTACACTGTACACAGTGAACTGAGTTTTCAATTATGAAAATATTTCCTGTAGAGTAAGATTATAACGTACTGCACCAATTAGGATAGTGCGAGGATATTCATGAAGAAGTCTCAAAAAAATTATTTGCAAGTCCGGTTCTTTCAGTCAGTTTCTATTGAATAAATCCTCTCGGTCGTCCGAAATATCAAAGTCACATACTTCAAATGTGGTTTCCTATTGTTCTTACTAATTTTCAAAGTAATTTACTTCCAATGTTGTTTCTTATTCGGACCTACTGTAAAAATATTCATCATCTGTCACATCTTATGTTCCGGAGCTTTATTCAGTGAGCCGAATCCTCTTCCGAACATAGGCTACGTTCTTTTTGGATGCTTGTAGGAAACACGTTCTACTTCATATAAAGTCTTCTTCTGTTTACTGAATGTTTGGAACCCTCGGATTAAAGTAGCCTTTCGTGTTGCTAGATCATCAATCCTCGCTCTCGTTAAACCTCTAATGCTAATTCGCACTAGCTTACGCATAATAAGTGACGTAGTTAATCTGTCAGTCGTACTAAATAGACACTTCATAACATTTTGTGTGCGGTAAACACAATCAAGAAGCGTGCTCTGAATCACTAGCAACTAAACTTCACTCTTATTACCATAGTTTTCTTTTGACCTCTGTAGTGAATCAATTTATTTTGAAGCTGTACATTCCAAAAATGAATGAAACAACGAGGCCGATGGTCAATAATCACTGAACATGATGAATTCATACGAAGTGACATGAACATTGTTTCAAAACTAGAGTGACATAGTCTTGAAGTAATCACTTAAATCGAATAGTTATTCCGAGACAGTTCGTTCTGCTCGCAATAGGTTAGTCACAAAAATACGGCTTGAAAGATTTTATTACGGAAACGAAACAAAGACAATAGTTAATAATTAAAAATTGTTACAGTAATCAACTAGCAATTTTGTTTTACATTGATATAAAAATAATTGTCAAAATTAAACAAGGAAAACTTTTGTAGCTTTCAAAAAATCAGTTCATTCTGGTCAACAGTCCCGATTATTATCCTGATCACTTTTCATTTGTGCTGTGGAAAAATGCATTGAAATAATTAGTCTGCACCAATTAAATGAATTAGGCAAAATGAAATAATTAAAGCATGTGTATGATTTGTTATTTTAAATGTTATTCGTTCATTTATACTCAAATTTATTGGTTTGTTCTTCCAGCTGATCCTTATTGAAACATCTGTTGTATAAAAATCAGTTTCATGTTCACTGTTCGTGATAACGTAAACGATAGAGACTCGCTTAATCGGTCGCAAGAAAGCTGAACACAACTAAGGCAATCACTTAATACACTGGCGTACGTACTATGTCTAGTGAATATCAACGTGATAGCTTCACACAGAATTCTCGCATTGTAGCTTAAGTTGACACTGAATAACTATGTTCTTCATGCACCCTGGGCATGTACTGCATCGAGTAAATGTATCACATAATATCCACCTGATTAAGAAAATATTTATGAATATCATTCACACACCTTCTTTGTATATATTTTCGACTTTTTGATGGATCTCTAACAATCGTTCAAATGTAACTGAAATTTGAAAAGCAATCACATCATTCAGTACGAAGGAATGAATCAAATAAGTCGGTTGACAATTTTTCTCAGTCAACACGGAGGTTTAATGACACAAAATTTCTGGAGTGAAGCAAATGATGTGCATCTCAGATGTTTCATCTATACAGACATTTATCGTCTTTTGTTCTGTCTTCTAACATTTGTGTTCATTTCTTATGAAAGTAAATGAATGGGATGCGCTATTCATTTAGCGTATAGGATGATACATTTCGCACTGAATATTCACATGTATAGTATCCCTAATTAAGTTTTTAGGCAAACAAGATAGCATATCTGTCAGAGATATCGACCATTCAATGTTTATCAAGTGTCTATGCTTATCTATATGCTTAAGAATCATTGAATGTTGCAGATAAAGCTGATTTGATATACTAAGCTCAGAAAGGTGGTGTTCATAGAAGGGACAGTTTTGTATTTAGTCAAAAACCGAAGAATATGCAATGATATAACTTTGTGATTTGTAATGACATTATCTTTGTGTATGGTCATTTCAGTAATTATTGTGCGCATATTTCAAAAGTATTTTGTTATTCGCATTTTTGACTATTGTTAACTGATGCACTTACGTGGTCCTTTACTGAATACGGAAACCAGGATTTTGGCGGTTTTTTCATTACTTACAAATTCTAAACAAACGTACAACAGAATATTACAGTCAATCTCAAGAAAAACTTGTCTTTCAAAATTTTATGAAAGAAATAGGACATAACATTTGCTCGAAAATAACTTGGTTGATAGAACATTTTCTTTCATACAAAATATGTATTGGAAGAAAATGTTAGAAATAAACATTTTTCACAAAGTATCAGTTAAATGAAATTAAGTTCTTCAGAGATATGGGTTGTCAGTTCACCAATTTGTGTAATGTTACACGAGTAATACAAAGGATATGAAAAGCTTACACGAATTTATTTTACTTACGTTCCATGTATTTCTCATCAAGTTTATTTACGATGTCCGATAACAGTTGAAAGTTAACTATAATTTTGAAAGCAATCATAGATTCTCGTTCATGAAAATAAATGAAATAGGCTGTGTAACACGCTAATATGATCAAACAGAAAGATCGTACTGTGGATCAATCGATATACATTGAAGTCTTCTAATCATGTGTAGGATATTTAGCCTGAATGAATCCGTTTCGTTACGACTAGGTAAACATTCCTTTCATAAGCCAGATGAATGTTCGTTTGCCGCGATAATGAGTAGACGAATTACAGTTTATCATGTGGGTAAACAAGAATAATTTGTGCGTATTTGTATTTTGATTGACAAATATTCGCTATCAATGAATCATGATGGATATGTAATAACAGTTTAATTAAAAGATAATTTGTGGGATGCATCTGCATCAGATAGCGGTTAATATAAACTTCAAAGAATGAAAATCTGTGTACTTACATAATTCATAGTTGTAATATCTTATAGATATACTGAAGGCTCTGATGTGACTATCAATTTGGTTTTTTACTGAAAATAAATTAGATTTCATTCCACAATTGATAGTATTCAAATAAATACGACTTAACAGAAAAATATTATTCACTTAGAAATGATTTCCGTTGATAAATATATTTTATTTGGAACCGTGTTCTTGAAAAAACAATAATTTGGCTTCAGTATCTTATGGTTATATAAATATCATAGAAAACAATATGTTAATATATATATAAATATATGTATATATATGTATTCGGGAATATTGTTACCGTTTAACTAATCTTTTGCTAATCTTGAATCATTTGGAAAAAGTAAATTTTCATCAAAAAAATGGTTTGATATTTCAATTTATAAAAATTTTACTGTTTCCATCGAATATCGTATCCGGAATACAGGATTTCACAGCTTTCTGTTTAACTGTATCTGTTTGATTTTATGAAGAAAAAACAAGGTTATACGAACCTCAAGGAGAAATGTTGAATTTTATATTATAATTTGGGTTCATAAACTTTGCGTTTGAATGCTAATTCAGTCAATCATCTTGGCTATAGCGAATTTTTTATTCTTCTTTGTATTTTTATCTAAGTGAACACGAAAGTTGTACAAATGATTCTAAACGAAGTCAAGTACAAACATATGTTTCAAATTACTTATATTCGGTCATGCTTATCACCGAAAAATGTATTTCATTTCCGGTTAAAAGTTATGTTACTCAGATTAGGAATGAGTACATGGCTATGTTAAATGAATAAGCAAAATAACGATTATAACAACATAATTTGGCAGTCACTTGATAACATAATATCCTTGATACATGATATGTAGTCACACTTACTGTCAAAGGTTCTTTGCTTATGATTGAAGCACACTTGTTTTTCGGAAGACTTTTCAAGCTTGACACCTTCAATTTGATGTGAAAAGAGTAAATTGGTGTTCACATGAGGATAGATTGTTTAAGGTTCAATAGAGTGTTTCTATATTTCAATGACAGATCATGTAAGAAATCTTTCAAATCAAATGACACATTCATCAAATTTTCGAAGAACTGAGCTTAATAAAAGATAATGAACCTGTGATTATACAGTGTTTGATATGTTGAAAACGTTGCATATATTGATCAAGACAAAACAAGAGAAATGAAGAAATTCGCCTATGAAAATTTAGTTCAAATGAATTTGTTGCATAAAGCAGTATTACGCACCGAAATCGTCTTCTTCCATTGATATTGTTGTAATTATATCTATGAGTCAATAAACAAGTGAAACCTTCTTGCCATTAAACACATACAGTTATGCATATCAAAGTGTCTGACTGTGGTGAAAAACCAATTCATATACATGATAACTAATAATGATAAAGTGCCTAAATATTATTTTCATTTATTCCACCCCGTTTCACCAAAGCTGTTAATCGGTGAGTCAAAGAATGATATTCGTGTTCTGCCACGTACTGATATTCTCGAACTACCAATAACATCGTAAGGAATGTAATCTGCATGAGTATTGAATTTTATTGTTGGAAGTTATCAACAAATTACAAAGTATATTTGAAATGCACAAACCTTTCATAAGTATACTCTTTTGAAAATTCATCTGTACTTCCATCTCACAATCCATATCTAGAATCAAGAATTCAATTTATGAAATTACTGCATTTTTCAAACATACATTTGATAATTGGGTCATTTGTATTTCGATGTTGTCTTCGAAGTTTTTCTGAAAAATGAAACAAAAACGGAAATAACTTATTTTTTTTAACAGTCAAAATCATGAACAATTTTATCTATCAGCCTTCTTCATCATTATTGCTTAAAATTAAACAATTTTTGTGCTCTGTACTTCGCATTTCATTGCAATAATTGAATAATGACAAATGATTTACTTTTAAGGTCCGAAAGATTTTCGAGATTGATTTCTGCTTCTTTTAGTGTCCTATTTATGTTACCTACAGTCAATATGTAAAAGCAACAGGTAAGTTTAATTGGCAGTAAACTGATAATGAACAACTATAAACATATGTATTGATTGATTTTGTTCAAATATACTCAAACCATTTCTTCACAATTTTCATAAAAGAGAAATCAAATGTCTATAGTAGAATTATTCAAGTAAATGTGCTTCACCATACCATCGGTTATACTGATATATTTGTCCAGAACGAGTGTTTTATACAGAATATGAGCAACTGAAATATAAATGTAGCAATATTTATGCAATGTTTCAAGTGAAAAGGAGTTATTTTATCAATATTCTTTCTCTGATTAAACAAACAATAAAATGAATCCAAATAATAGACATTGAATAAAAACTTAAATTACCATTCCGAGGTTTAACTTTAATGTCTGACAATTTTTTAAATAAAAACAATCATCACAAGAATTACGAATTTTCGTCAATTAATAAATCGCACGTGCATCATATAATGAAACTGAATGAAGCTGAATGATTCCACTAATTTCAATCATCCAATGACTTAGAAAATTTTTCGCAACCATTGGCAACTTATATATTCACGGTTTTTGTACATTTGTCAAGTTGTTTTCACTGTATATTGGTTAGTAATAACAAGTTTTTTAGCACTGTTATCGTTACTGAATATATATATATATATATGTATATATAATAACATATATAACATATATAATAACATATATGTATATATAATAACATGTTCACAGTGTGTTCACCTCAACGAACAATCAATTTGTTAATGAAGTTACCTTTCTCCGAAGAACTCAGAAGTATATCATGATATCTTGTATTCATTTTATAAGTACCTGGAATTACATAAAAACATTTCGAAAATGTTGTAACGTTGATGGCAAATTATTTATCAAATCGATATCATTGATTTTGAGATACGCATGTATGTTATGGTGCAAAGGTAGCAACTTTTCAGTGTTTGTTTACTTTAAATTGCTTTTAAGGTATAAATGAACGTGAATCGCAACATAATATGAATAATGTAAAGCACACATGTATTTCAACTGATACTCACGTAAATTCAAACTGCTACTCTTTATTAAATCCATTCTATCCTTATTTATATCAGGTAATGGATCCATAGCTTAAATAGAAACCAGTCAATAAAATAGAAGAGTAACTTCTACTTGGTGATTGAAAAAGTATTCTAGTTACTGTCGCGTGGTTTTAATTGTGAACCTTTCACTGATGTAAAAATATGTGATATGGCGAGTCCTTTATGGAAATAAATGTCTGCAGTAAAGCACCTTTATTTCCTTTCGACTGGGTTATTTGTAATTTTTATTCAAAACTGTTCAATATATAAATTAATATAATTAATATAAATTAATCGCAGGTTTGGTTTGAATTTTATGTCACAGCTGTTTTTCAAAACTTATTTTTTTTCGATGTTTCAAAAAGAGAGCATTAAGTTACCAAAACTAATAACATAGTGGTTTTATAATTCGGTAATGTGAGAATTAATTATCCTCACTTTCAATGTGAGTTGTTACACAACCAGTACACAAACCTATGCTACATTTTGAATGTATTAGTTTTACATAAAATAGAAAACTCAGAATAATCAGACGATGCACTGCTTATCAATGGATCACTGAATAAAAACGTCGCATATCACATACCATAATTATTCAAAAATACATAGTAATAAATAAGTACGTACCATCTTGCATGGATGCAGTTAGTGAGAACAGAAGGAGAGTTATGTAAAACACAATGGAGCAACACATTTTTACTGAAAGTTTCAAATTCAGCGTTCCATATTTATAGCGTTTGTAGAAGATATCGATTTATAAACACACTGTGACATGCTTTCACGGTGTCTGATTGGCCAGCTGCGGAAAATATGATACAACCAACTCAAATGACTGATTTATTCATGATTTAATTGCCGTCCTTTCAAATTTTTGCGCATATGTTATATCCCAACAAATCGAAAACACATAGGCCCTTGTTACACTCTCAGATTATCATACAGATTAGGAAACAAGAATTGAAATTCAAGGCTTTATCATCCATCCTTGTATTTGTGAAGATTACAATTCTCTCATAAATTATTTCGCAGTAATGTTCGGGCTCAAAAGAACTGTTTTCGTCTAATAAGCTGGTTCGAATATCAACATGAGCCGTAATCGAAATTTAGGCATCCATCTTGTTTCTGAAGATTTAAAATGATTACATGGTACCCGACACTGATATTATCATACGCAAACATACCAATCATTCTTCATAGAAATTGGTTGAGAGAGGAGCTGATAATGCAGCAACAAAATTTGAAGATTGGAACATGCAAATGGCTTATAAAGCGAAAAAATTAAACGGCAAATTTGAGTGAAATTATTTCTATGGTGAGTAAATAAAAAAGAAGCCGTATTGATTTCGTTGCTCACATTAGAAAAATAAACTAGAAAGATATGTACAAAAAACAAGTTAACCTATAAAATAAGAAAATTTTCAAAGAAAGATAAAAAATTTGGCAAAAGTGTTGTTGAAATTCAAGGTGAAACGAAAAACGCATTGATTAAAGGTGACCTCAAAAAAAAAATAAACAACGCAGTATAATATGGTTAAGAAAAACGTACTTCCATAAAAATGTGATTG